CTATACACGTTGTCGGCGTGCCCGGCGGCACTTCGTTCCTGGAGCAACAGCCGAGCGCGACGAAACAAGGCTCGGGTTGAGTTTCGTTTTTTTTTTTTGCAGCTATGTATTTTTCAGCAACCCATTGATTGCCCACGCGTGTACAAATGCATGACTGGTCTTCCCCGCTGCGAGTAGAGCGTTTCCACCCACATTTGGTCAATCAGCCGGTTCCCATGGTTGGCTGTTAACCATAGATGCCCCCTCCTCGTGCCAAAACATGTCCAACACACACATACGTGCCAGCCGAATAGCTACATGTCCTACGATTAGGTGTCCCATTGAAGTTGAAACTAGCACGTGCAGCACGACGATCCCCCGCTCTGATAAAATAAAATAAAATTACCGAACGGCTAGAGGTGTGTCATATGCCGCTGAAACCGTGCAGCAAGCGGGAGAGCATTCATGCAACCTGGTTCCTGCACAAAAAACGTCAAGATTAAAGTTTAAGGACGGGACGCTATCATAGCCAGACCGCTCCGCCCGCCCGTTTGTCGGCATCACCGAGAAAGAAAGCAAAGGAGATCGGCTTTCTCCCGAAAAGAATTCGTTAGCCTACGCATCTACGCATCCTCCAAGAGCGGCATCAGTAACAAAACAAGGACGTTGACTGCCGCACGTGATACATGGGGCATAAAAAAGAGAAAACGCCGTGAAAAACAGATCACGATGTCTACGTAGCATGCCTTTGGGGCCAAAACATATTGAAAAACAGATCTTGTTGGCAGCAACCTTCGGGTCGAAGCAAGAAAAACACAACCTAAGCAATGCAGCAATCGCTTGAGAGAGCATAAAAGAAGTCGGAACACGAGGACTTGTGCGCGCCCTCGCCCCCCATTCTGCACAAACATCCTTGTTGAGAAACATCCGAACGTCTGTTGAGCACCACGAGCACACCAATCATGTCTCACAATCCCCTCTGTAGATGAGACGACGCGGGCCGAGAATGATGACCAAACCCAAAGCAACAACATCAACAACAAAAAGCTGCGTTCGCCCTTCTCCCTCACTAAATACCACGTCTCTTGAGCGTCATTGAGAAAGGCCCTAAAAAAACACAAACACACACAGAATATGTGGGGACACGGCAAATTCAAAATCAATCACAGCAGCAACACACAAAGAAGAGGTACGAGCTCGACCCCCCCCGTCCTCGTCCAGTAGCGTTCGCCAGAACATGAAACTTCTTTTTCTTTGTAGTAGGGGCTACTTTACGGCGTTGGGTTGGGGGTGAGGTAATCTATTCCACACATAACGCTGAACATCCTCGCGAAGGCGGTCCTTCTAGAAAAACCACGTTTGGTTTTAGTAGTGGTTACGGGAGTTGAGTTAGGGGTTAGGGTGAGGGATACGAAGCCCCCCTCTCTATTTTACATATGAAAACGCTGAATATCGTCGCGAAGGCGGCCCTTCCAAAAAAGCTAGGCTTGGTTTTAGTAGTGGTTACGGGAGTTGAGTTAGGGGTTAGGGCTGCGGGTACCATCCCCCCTCTCTATTTCACACATGAAACGCTTAGTATCCTCGCGAAATACGGCGATCTGTTCTCAACACTAATATTGGCTTTAATGGGGGTTACGGGGTTGGGTTAAGGGTTAGGGTGGGGGATACGAAGCCCCCCTCTCTACTTCAGACGTAAAACGCCTAATACTCTAGCGAAACAAGGCGTTCCGTTCTCAAAACACACCTCTGAAACTTGAAGGTGAAGTCTAGACGCCTCACGGCGTCCGCGGCCGTCGGGCCGCTGCAGCGCGCGCATGTCTCTTCCGTCACCGAGACGTTGGTCGCGTTCTTCGGTAGCCACACCGTCGACTCCGAGCACGCCGGGTAGCCCTTGCACCCTGCAAATACTCAATTATTCGATATTTGTATTTTGTTGGGGGGGGGGGTTCGCGTTTGATTTTTTTAGTTTCAAGCCCCTCAATTATCAATTGGGCTAAAACGTGGAAATAATTGCTGTCGTCGACGCCGCCCTGGCACAAAGGAGGGCGGCTCTGGGAGGAAATGAATTAAATAGTATATTCGACTCGAAATACTAACCCTGGGATCATGCAGGCAGGACGCGAAGATTAGAAATGTCTCTCTGCATCTCTCTGTCTCTTCCTCTGTCTGTCTGTCTGTCTGTCTGTTTGTCTGTCTCTCTCTCTGTCTGTCTCTCTCTCTCTGTTTTGTTTGTCGTTTCGTCTGTCTGTATTGTAGCTCCCCCCCGCTATCTGTCGGTGACGGTGGTGTTGCTGTTCTGCAGACGAAAACGTCATATCTAGCCTTCCCGTGCAACAAGGGGTGTGCTCCTTGCACCCTGAGTTCCAACAACCACAACAACGCTACTGCACGCGTCAAGGTCGAAAACACACCCCCAAGGACTCCCGCACAGGCTTAAGGAGACCTGTAAACACAGGCCAAAAACGTCGACCCGTACAGACAGAAAACGCAACCACGACAACAACAGCAGCTGCAATGACGACGTCTATACACCAGGTCAGGAAATCAACACAAAAAAGACGAATGCATCACGAATAGTCTAATGTTCTACGCGGCGCCACCTAGGAACCCCTTGTTCCTCTTATTTCCCCCAATAACTGGAGGTTCTCAAGCGAATCACAAACGCATCTACACCAGTCATGAAACTAACACAACACTACGGAACACATCGAAAATACTGTGCGCGGCACTCCTTTGAGCCTCATATTCGGCCAAAACTCAAGTGACATCACGAACATATTTACACCAGCCAGGCAACAATAATAGCACGAGAGAGAACACATCACGAATGAATACTGTTGTCAGGGCCACCACTTGAGAACATGGTGTATTATACAGGCTCACTAATTTTCAACGCAGTGTGGGGTGTCCCAACGTCGACCATAAAGGTTGTATGTAGTGTAGGAATCCCAACGACATCCCTGCTGTTCTTATGGTTTACTCTTCAATGTTTTCATCTGTTTTCGATCCTGAATTTCTTGACTCCCAGGTCCGCAAGTGGTGGCGGGCATTGCATCAAGAGAGGACTAGCAGCACATCCCACAAACGGGCACGGCGAAACAAAGGACGCGCGACAGGGCAACACACTTGTCGTCCGCCGCACCTAGGTGGTATTTGCCCGTCCTCGTTCTCTTGATGTTGAGAGCCTGCCCGCAGCCAGCTTTCCAGCACCGCACGATGGTTGTGTCGCCACCTGAGGAATTGTTAGGAGCGACAGGGTGTTCATCGTAATCCATCATTAGTAAACACGGCAAGGCCAACAGACCCACCACCGGCAACACAAACATCAACAACACCGACCACTACCACCACCACCACCAACAACAACAACAACAACATCATCAACAAACGACAAGAACAAGAACAAGAACAACAGCAACACCAACGACAACCACAACAAACAACGACAACAAACAACAACAAACAACAAACAACAACAACAACAACAACAACAACAACAAACAACAACAACAACAAACAACAACAACAACAACAACAACAACAACAACAACAACAACAACAACAACAACAACAACAACAATAACAACAACAACAACGACAACAACAACAACAACAACAACAACAACAACAACAACACCATCACCACCACCACAACCAACCACTAGACACAGGACGGAAACCAACACCCCCGTGCCGACCTTGCACTCTCTTGGCCAGCGGGCACGACGCGCTGCACATGAAGCACCGGAACTGGGACTGCCCCTCGCCCCCGTGGGCCGCCGGCGCGTTGTTGAAGCAGTACGGGCACACCGTGTAACCCGACCCGGTGTAGTCGTTTCCCGTGCTTACCGACAACACCTGGGTCGGTTGGAAAACCGGTTTGACACAACCCGGAACGTTCCACGAGCAGCAGTTCAAACGGTTGAGAGTGAAGCTGTGCTATCATCTGTGACTTCATGTTCAGCCCTGTTCGCATTTGCTGGTAGATCCGAAAAAAAGCCTCGCAATAACGTCGTGGAGGGTCTTGAATACGCACGTCCAACACCGCTGTTATTGCACCAAGAACACCTACCAGCTCCCATCGATGGTCCGGTTTGAGCAACGGGGCGGAAAAAAATTCGTCGGAGGGTGGTTTACAGATCGGTTGCTCGCCCTCTAGCGCACGGCCGCGCATGCATCTACCCGAGGATAATCAATATTCAACACATGTTTGCAAGACACGGGTTCAATCTTTCTCGCCGAACGAGGATATACTGTTCTGAACAGGCGGGGCGTCGCAACGAAAGTAAATCCTCGAGAACCTCCAGCGGTCTGTATTTTGTTGTTCTCTGGTACTGCGAAAGGACGCACAACGATATCCACAGCTGTAGCTGTGAAAACGAAAAAATAGACACAACAGTCGGAGGTCGTGTGGATTTCAGAAGCTTCGCGTTAAGTATGAACGGACCGGTCGTCAAACAACTAACGACTGGCTGCATCGCATCCTTGTTTCAAGAAACGGCCACGCCTACTTATTCCCAACGCACACGGCAACAGAGCGCCGTGCACCATTCGGCAGCACCCAAGGCATGGTGTCACCTGCACGAAAAACTCAAATGGTACGGCGGCCGCTTCAAGTTGTGTCTCGTACGGAGATACCGACATCGAGCTCGCCTCTAAATTTACCGCCAAAATTAATTTGAGCGAAAAAAAACACAAGAAAATCACCACGCCACGGGAGATAGGGCCTGCGGGTCGAGAAGGGACTCAAGGGAACGTGCAGAAGCGCCAACATTAACGAAGGCATGAACAGCAACACGTCAAAGCACGCTGGTACCTGTTCGACCGTCTGCTCTGGAAAGGAAAAAAAAAAAACTTTACACGCCCACACCAAAACATGTAGAAATCTTGCCTGGAAGTGGCACAGGGGACACTCGAACTCCGGGTCTTGCTTGGTGAGCTTCCCCTTGTGCGGCAACGGAAACCCCGTGTCGCAGACGCCGCAAAAGAGTAGAGGCCTGGGGTTGTTGTTGTTGTCGGCGGTGCGAAAGGGGGGAGGCGGGCGTTGTTAGGAAGAGTGCGCAACGGGCGCCAAGCGAGACTAGCCAGGCCGTCGAAATCTCTAGGAGTACACAACAACAAACAGACATTAGTAGAGTCCCTCTGTTGCTTGTTGCTGTCGCGGGGGGGGGTCGTGGGTGTTGTTGTCGTTAGAGGGGGGGTACGAATGTCGATGAGGCGGCACCAAAGCTGCTCGAACAAACAAACGCCGGTGCGCTTCTTTCGAGCATCAGCCGTGAAGGGGCGGCAGCCGTGGGCGGACAGCGCAGACGAGTATTTGGTGAGTTGGTCCAGTTAATTTTTGTCGTCACCGCCACCGTACTTTTTCTCGCTCAATGTTGACATTTGACACTCGAATCAAAGTTGGCACGAACCGCACGGCCGAAAAGCATCGAAACCTGGTGTAAAAAAATCTGGATATATGGCCACACTGTTGGAAATAAAAACCTGGACATTTACCTACACCCGAAAAGACATAAAAAACTGTCCCGAATCGACGAATTAGTTGCCCCGAAGCCAGATTCAAACTAAATGCAGCCACATAAAACCTCAAAACAACAAACTTGAAGTTGCGTGAAAGAGCAGGCGAACGATAACATGTACTACCTCACGCTCGCTCTGATTTTGTGAGCTGTTCCGTAATATCTCCCCAACCCGCGCATATACCCGGACGTCAGCTCTCACCTTCCCGACGACGACTTCTTGAGGTCCATCGCAGTGCCGCACACACCGCACCTGCTGAACCCCCTCCCTCCCCGCACGGTCCGGCTCTCGCCCCCCGAGGATCCCAGGGGACGGAAGTGCATCGCCACCGCATCATCGAGCTTATGGGCAAGCTGGAACGAAACAGATTACGTAGGCAAAAACGGAAGAAGGGGATATGAGAACGAAAGGAACGAAATTCTTGAATAAAGGTTGATGGGCTCACAAACAACAACTCATCATACATGCAGTTCAAGATAACCAAATCAAGGAAAACCTTTTCCAAGTGTAAATAAATAAATGAAGAAAACCAATAGAAAATGACGTGTGAGGGAACGGGGCGGGGGGGGTCATGGGGCTGCGACGCTTGCTTGAGAGCGAGCGATGCAACGGACACAACAACGCGACACTCTTGTGGTACACTTCGCCAACTGCATCGAGTGTCACGACGCAAACCATTCGTCGTCAATATGCGCGGCAGCAAAAAAAACAAATGTAAGCTGAGGCAAACGCCAACGGCCTGTCAACGTCTTCAGAAACGCCGCTTCACGCTACCATCCACTAGACGCGTACGCGCAACGTCCGACAACGCATCTTTCCCTAGCGCTGCTTCGCCCTGCTAGCTACACAGCCGTTGGTTACACGCACCGCCTGGCAAGTCTGAAAGCACTCCTTCATCTTGCTGATGCACCTCTCCACCACGGCTTCCTTAGTGTCCTCCCCTCGAGAGATGCGCGTGCAGTCAAGCTCCATCGCCGCCCTCAGGGTGGGCGCACTCATCTGGAAACCTGAAAGCGGCGTGTTTTTGAGAGGGGGGGGGGTCCAGCAACAAAGCGGTTTGCAATCGGCATACCAAAGGAAAGACAGCTATACATACTCAAGGTTCCCCTTCAGGACGTGGGAGTCGAGGCTCTCAAAGGTGATGCAATAAGACATGCCAAACCGCTTTCCACGGGCTGAATACAATCTTCCTTAATGAACGGCGAACGTTGTGGCCGTTTCCGTGGAAAACATTGCACTGGCTTGTCTTGGATCCAGCTCGGGCCGACAATAACGCCAACGAGATTAAAAAAAATATATATCCTACTGAAGTATGTCGAATCCGAACCAACGCCACAAGCAGAGGCAACAGTGCACGCTCCCAAGAAGCAACATCACCAAGATTCCGGGTGCATGCGCTCAGACTTTATCTACAACAACAGTGTATCGCTGTACCCGCTGCGAAGTGCAAACTAGAAATGGTGCTGTTGGACATTGCGATGACGCAGCCATCCATTGATGTTAACCAGAGCCAGTAATGGCATCAGCGAATGTGAAGATTGACATAGACACTTCTTTTCTCGGAGTAGGCTGCAAGCTGCACGCTCCAGAGGAACCGATTTTGAAACCGATACTGTGCACCAAGCAGACGCGACGGCGTACACTAGAAGAAGCAATATGAGCAGAGGGTAGAGTTACCGTATGATCAGTCAGGTTCGTCTACGGCTGGCTGTGGCGTAAGTTCGTGTTCGTGCCTTGTGTTGGAAAGGTGTTGCTTTCCTAGGCTTACGTTGCTTGCGTTGTGTAGCAATTTCAAGCAAGCAGCAGCAGCTGGCAGTCCAGCTCTATACTGTCATGTTTAATATATGCGTAAACATATTTCAAGGTGTCCCTCTGGAGTGAGCTTGGGAGTACAGCAGTGCCATGAAGGGGCGATCCGAGATGGAAAGAAATATAAAGAGGGCAGCCGGACCAGCCCACAGCTGGCTGCCAGCTGCCAGTAGTCACGTTTCCCAAGCTGGCTACACACAGATCACGTGTTGTCGACAAGCGAACATCACACAAACCAAAGAGGAATAAAGTATGCAGCAGCAAGCGTACAATTTGTTGATCATGTTTCGTGCTTCGGCATTTCTTTTTTTGGCAGCAGATAGTTATTGTTCTCACCCTTCCTTCTAAGTGGCACGCAGGAGGCTCGTCAGTACACCACCGCGCATGCCCGGAGCTCGCCAGGCATCCTAGAGCCGCGACTCGCGGGAACACGTGCCGCGAAGAGAAAGCCCGGTGAAAACCAAATACTGCAGCCCATCAATACACGAGAGAAAGACAAAGCCTGCATGGTCGCTTCAAACCCGTCTCCCGCTACCGACACCAGAAAAACAGCAAACCCATGATCGTCTGGGGGAAAAAATACATGCACAAGGACGCTCACCGATGTTGTCGTAACCGTCCACAAGGGCGAGCCCCAGCGTGGTCGGGTAGAAGCGGTCCTGCTCGTTCTTGACGGCGTACTGCCGTGTCCATGGGGGTTTGCAACAGAGAAGGGGGCGGGTTAGAGATGAATCACGCGCGAAACTTCGTGGAACACTGGCGTGCCGAGAATCCGGCAGCCAGTTCAGTGCATTGGACCGCACTAGATGCTCTACGTCATGATGTTGGCGTGTGTAGCGTGTAAATGTATCGCTTGTGGTCTTGAGGTCCACTTTTTGTGCAAAATGACGACTATGAAGGACATCCCGACACTTGATGCAAAACTTGGCGTCTCGGGTCAAAACGGTTTTGATAGCCGGAGGAGAAGGCAGATGAATGACACCGCAAGAAGCAATCGATCGTGCGAATTGTTGTACGGGGAAGTAAGCTATCCTTCCCGGTGCCCCCTCCGACAACAGTTCTGCTGTGCACCTGCCCTACCACAACGTTTTGGTTGCCTCCCTCGGCGTAGGGTTGTGTCAAACGCTGTATGCTCTCTGCATCATGTGAATCCACCCGATTCATCTCCATATGGATATTTTGCACTAATGGACACCCTATGCTACCTATGTAAGGTTTCTATTTTTCTGCACCATTTGCCATCCCGCCGGCCTTTGCCGTATCTTTAGGCGTCGACATCAACACTATACCAGCACACAAGGGAAAAATGCTTCGGGCGGGATTTTCGCCTCCCCTCTCTCCCTAAACCTTCTGCATCAGGCCGAGAATGCCCTACAACCACGCGAGGGAGCATGCGCCTCCGCCCCACACCATGCAGTTGTCGCCCCCACACCCACTTTTCTCTGCTGGATCTTCTGGATGTGCTCCGCGATCGTGGCGTCAGTTCCGATGCCTTTCTGGTCCATCAGCCCGATCAGGTCCGACTCGCTGAGGAGGGGCGGTGCTTGCGTCCTACCCTCGTCCATCTTGAAAAAAAAAAGTAAACATACGAAACGAAACAGATACTATGACGAGCAAAAAATTGAATTAAAGAGCCTCTGATCAGGCTCCTCATGTAAGTCCTACGAGGGGGCAGTGCGTTTGCCTCCCCCTGTTTCTCCACATTTCCCAGAGTACCTCGCTAGCATCCCCTGCCCGATCCACTCGCGCCGATTCCGACCTCACCACAAGCACATTCTCTTCCACTCCTGGTTCCCAGTCGCCAATTCTCCCTTTCTCCACACACACCAACATTACCTCATCGCGACAACCCCTTATCCCCCCCACCCATTACCGTCTAGCCACGACTCACCCACCCTCTACCCGCTGCAAGAAAAAGGATAAAAAAAAGCTCACCACGAGGACGCTAGGCACGAACTCTTGCCCCTGGAAGAACTCTGGAATGTTCCTGCCGGTCCATCGCTCGAAGGGCTCGTAGACATCCAGCCAGTTCCGCTCGGTCACCATCAGGCCCGTCGCAGTAAAGTCCTCTCCGCCACAGTTCGCGAGTACCTGGCCGATCGATGGACATGTAAAGTAAACCCCCGTGCGTGAGAAAGGAGAGGGGGGCGGGAGACGTACAGGTGTAAAACTTACAGAGAGTCAACATTGCGGGGTGCATGCTGAAGTGTAGTGGGGCCACGTAAATAAAAGGGCCACATCTTCCCAACGAGGACGATTCATTGCCCCACACCCTGGGTACTAGACAATGCTGCTAGGTTGTGTAATAGAATAATACGGGAACAAAATAGACGAGCCTATCGACGTCAGCAATGGCGCTATTGATGGCAATAGACTTCTCATTCTGTTACCAAAATACCGAGTTTGTCGACAGGAAGCGGGCCCAACTTTTTTTTTTTTTTTTTGTCTTCTCTTCAAATCAGCGCAAACAGCACTAGTGCCGTTTGCCCCGACCCGTGGTCACACAGAAGAACCCTCTCTACCCTCCCCTCCTGCGGTATTTTGCCTTCGATTTTTAATGCGAGAAGAGCTCAGCACTCTCTTCCCTCTGTGTACAAACGAACTAGCGCTATCCACTAGGCCAGAAGCGGAAGCGAGAGAAAAACTCACTTTGCAAGAAAAGCTCACTTGCGCCGGGATTCAAACCCCTGACCTGACCTCTAGAAGGTGTCCAGGATACCAACTAGACCACCGGGGCGACCGGGTTGCGATCAGATGTCTATCGGTAGGAACTCTTGAATCTATTACTGTGGCCAGAAATGTCTATCAATAGGCAATTTGGCACTCTATTGTGGCTGACAACATTTTTCAATAGATGTCGTGCGAAAGTTTTTGTCGCTAGCAATGTCCATCGATGGACAGATTGAAAAATTGTTGTTCCTGGTAGTGCTCATCGATAGACAGTTTGTTCTAATCTACTTCAGTATTGAGGACAGCAAAAGCCAGTTGTCTGTTTCGTTGGCAGAACATTCCAAAATGTAGCTGTCCTCGGACCGCATGCCAGTTGCAACACTTTCAATTCTACCGCTATCGACAGCAGCTGCCGACAGAACGCTTCAAAGTCTTTTGCAGTCGACGGTGTAGATCGAACACTTTAATTAATCAGCTGTCTTGGACTATGGATACAGTAGAACCTTATGGAAGTCTGTTGTTACGTACCATACACATCGATAGAATCGTTGGAAAAATTCTTCCGGTTAACAATAGTTATCGACAGAACCCTTTGAAACTCTATCGTTCTTGATAATGATATCGAAAGGGATTTCAAAATCCGTTGTTTTGAAGATTGGATATCGACAGAAGCCTTCGAAAATATATTGTGACTGACAAGGGATGTCGAAACTTCTTGTCGTGGTCCGTTATAGCAACAGTAGGCCATCGTCGGCGCTACTGTCTGGGGTGTGATTCATTCCCTCTTTCGCGTTTGCGTCGCGGTGACATGTCTGATTCTAAGTGCCTTACCCAGTTGTGAGCCTTTTCTTGAAATATGCGACATTTCGGGGATGTGTGTGTGGAGGTAGATGAGCACGTCAACGTGTTGGGTAGTTTCTTCGTGCTTCGAGCCTGAAATGCCCATACCGAAATAATGAAGACCACAGAAAAGGAGTGAGAGGCAAACACCAAGCATGCCAATACCCGCGTTCATGCAGCGGAAAATAAGGGGTTACACATGCAGGCAGAGCTCGGCTTCGTGCACCGGGTATCAACAGAGCAAAACCCCCTGTTCCAATGTCTACAACTATATAATATTTCACGAAGCGAGGACGTCGACTAGCACATAAACTTTTATCGCCAGCACAAAGTATGCTGTGAACGTAACGCCCTCACCATAGGTGGGACAAGGCCGTACACCAAGAAGGAACGGCACTCTTTGAGACGAGACATTACACGTTAGACGAGACAAGACGAGAAAATACGATAGGCTGACCTTGGTCTGGTGACCCACGGCATCCTTGCTGCAGCAGGCGAGGAAGTGCTTCGTCACGAGCTCGTAGATCTGCACGGCGTTCGGATCACAGCCAAAAGTTGAGGGACGAGACGGAGTGAGAGGGGGAGAGAGAGAGAGAAAGAGAGAAAGAGAGAACGAGAGAAGAATGGCACTGCGCACAGCACACACATTTAGAACACTTACGCGTTACTTCCCGTCTCCTAAAACCTTCGCCTCGATCGTTTGTTCGCAGGGAGCTCGGGGTACACCCTCTGGTTCGACAGAACACATTCGGCGGAAAACAACCCTGTTTCGCCGTACTGGCGCAGTCTCGCTTGACCTCTTCTGCTTCCGCTTGCCGCAAGGTCACACGACCGCGCGCGTGCACACACACAACGCCACCCTTTACCACTAATGGGGGTCCACCTTCTTCTCGTCCGCCTGCAAGGAGTTCGGGTCCACGCTCTTGGTCGGGTGGATGGGGGGATGGGCGCTGTCGTCCCCCCTCCCCTCCCGCGGCCACAGAAAGCCTCCGTTGTCCAGCAAACCCCCGACGTAGTTTCCGAACCGGGGGTTGTCCCGAAAGTCTCCCAGCAGCGTGCTGAAAAGAAGGCGGGGACAGGTGTCGCGACAACACAATCCCAGCTGTAGAAGAATCGAAAAAAAAAACTGTTTTCTTGATTACCACAACAACAACAACAACAACAATAGCTACGGCAACAACGACAACAACCGCTACGGCAACGCATGCAGAGGTGACGCTGGTGGTGGATTTGGGGGTGGCAGCGGCAGTGGTCGTGGGCAATGACGCTGCAAAATTAAGAAAAGAAAGGCACGTGTTTCGGAAACATAAAAAAACATGATGAAACTACGCGCGGAAAAATTGCGATAACAAGAAATGAGAAAACGTGTTGGTGTTGCGCAGCCAGAGGGCGGTGATTGCGGAACGCCGCCGAGAGGAGATGTAGTGTGGATGACGGCGTTCAGGGTGACAGCGGTAGACCAGGACGTGGGGGTCTCGAAACCCAACTCACATACACACCCGGGTCGATAGCCATGGAACGTTTGATCAGCTAACAAGGAGGCCACACAAGCGCGCAGAAAATTGACGGCGGCCACAGGTCGTGGTGTTGGATTGCAATAACGGCGGTGACACATACACTTCCCGCTGGAAACTTTTTCCACACACAGCCTAGTGCGCAGAAGTAGATACGTTTGCCCTTTATTCGGGGTATCATCGTTTGACAAATGGGACGCCAAAAAAAACAACAACATCCCAACGTACCAAGTACCGTGTTGGCTCGCGCGGTGTCTACCTACCGTCGTATCTGCTTCTCCATCGAGGAGCTACGATCCGGGACTGTTAGTCACACAACGGGAAGACTCCCTCTACCACGGTAGAGAAAAACGCCTCCCAAGCTACATAGGTTGCCTCACTTGATGTCAAACTCCCTCTTGAACTTCTCCGTCTCCGTCCTGGGGTAGCTGATGATGCCCCTCTGGTACAAGGCCTCCGCGACGTGCATCGTTCTCTCGGACGAGATGTGGCAGAATCGCGATGCCCTTCGCAAGCAAAGAATCGAGATTTTCAGAGAGGAGTGATCCCCAGGTTGATGAATAGTAGGCGACGGTGGCACGGTACAATTGTGTGTGTGGGGGGTATTCATGCCGTAGTCGGGGGGGCAATGAGCGTGCGCAGGGGGGGCACCTTAGGATGACGGTACAGATACATGCAACTGCAGTAAAATATAATGTGACAGGACCACTCTCCAAAGGAAGGAAATGGACCCCCAAAGGCCAGGAATGCTCCCGGCTGAGCGGCAGCACAGGGCAGCAGCATACGAAAGGATTCTCTTGGGAACCCACCTAGTAAATCGGTACCGGGATCTCCCCTTGGGTCGTTATCTAGAGACTGCCAAATCCCAACGCCAAATGAACTACAAACCGCACGCGCCGCCTCAAATGAAGGTTTTCATGGCAACGAGGGCATGTGGAGGGTGGAAGGGGCGACGGAGAGTGAGAGGTGTACCTCTTCTGAAGCTCGACGGTGGACATCGGTATCGGGCGTGCCTTGGTGACTCTCCTCGCCTCCACGCTGGTGACCACGGCGACCCCGTCTTCTACCGTCATCTCGTACAGGATCGCGCAGCAGGCGTGGTCGTACAGCCGGCCCTTTCGTCGTCGCCCCGAGTTTGGCAACAGAGCGTTGATCAAGGCGCGGAGGAAGAGGGAAAGAAGAGAGAAGAATCGTGGGGAGGGGTTTCGTCAAGTCAAGTTTAGGGAAGGATGTTTGGGGTCATGGAAATGGCGGCTTCACCCCTTGCCGTGGGGGGATGATGCCACAACGGGCGGTTCCAGTCGCCCCGGAAACGGCGACGTGCGCAACCGCACGCCTCGGGGCAGGCATCACGGCTGTGGGAGCATCGTTCAGCGACAAGATCACCCCGAGTTCTTGGAAGACCCCGTCACTACCGGCTGCTGTGCCGTTGAACCACAAAAAACATGTAGGCACCACATGAGGGGCATCGGCCGGTACGTTCACGTCGCTCGCGATAACACCGAGCTGCACAGAAGAGTCACGGTCGGTGAATTGTGTTCGTTGATGACCACCTTGGCACGCGGAGGCCCGCCCGAAGCGAGTAGGTAGGCGCATCTGCTTACGTCAACATCACAGACCATTTCTTCTCGCTCATCAATCCTCCAAACCTTCCTGGCGGAGACGAAACCTGAAGAAGGAAAGTCACAAAAATGCCGCTGCGAACTCGGAACGCACGCACTTGCGTCACCCCTCACGTGATTTCATTTCCGTCTCTAGCTTTTCTTCTGATCTCTCTTCTCTTGATTTCTCACCCGCTGCCACGAGAAGTCCGCCCTAGCCTTGCCTCCCGGGGAACGCGGGTCGTCCTCCGCGTACTCCATCTTTATGCTCCAGAATGCCTCCGATTGGAAAGCCTGATAAGGCCCCGAATCCCAATCAGACGGTCGCGACGCGTAAGCAAGATAGCGTGAGGAGACTCTTGGGTGTCGTGAAAAACACCCAGAAATGTGTGAACGTGATGGCTGACGTGCGTGCGTACGGTGTGTCGTCGTCGTTGGTACAGGTTTTACTATAAGCCTGTACCTGTGGCGCGTGTTTCACACCGCGTCTTGGCGACCACGCTTCATTTGCTGTCGATTTGCTCCGAAAATAGCTTCGCACTCGCGTGACCTACGAGATACCGGCACACATACATTCGCGATGGACCACGGACCAACAAATCCCCGTACGCTGTGTTTTCGGTTACAACGTCAACCACCACCCCATTGGTTCTGTGTCAATGCTTTTGCTAGGCGACAAGTGACAGTAGGCCCGAACTATCGTGGCATAGGACAGCTCACTATCTACTGCAACTAGACCACCTACAGCATATAGCTCACTTATGCTCACCAAACAGATGCTCATGAGCTGTATACCCGACACTTCACCCTGCGAAGCACAAGTAGTTCTTGACGCTTACTAGGGAGCCCTCCTCAAATCTACTTTATTCGTCGACCTAAAAAGAGCTAGCTGATCTTCCCTTCGTTTGCAAAGAGTTGGGCTTATTCTTTGAAAGTGTCGCCATCAACCAACCAACAGGTCGAGTACAACAAACCCGGACCTTCAGAAAAGAGCGAACAACACACACGATTCTAGAAAGGGAAGGCGGCATTGTATTACGCTAAAACTGTACTCGAAACCGTTATCGCATCCGGAAACCACTAAATCGTCCCCCGATTGCCGTGAAAAACGCTGCTGCTGGCTGCTCGCTCGCCGTCGGCCCTGGATAGCCCGGCCCCCAATGCCGACAAACACACGAATCTCTCCTCCAACACACTGGTGAATCATTCATCCCCTGAACGGCAAACTCCGCCATCTCTCCTGTGCCCACACCTTTACCAAATGCTGTAAGCACAAAGCCTTCAAAGTGTGCCAAACAAGCTGTGTAATCATTCTATTAGAACACCACCAGCCTCTTCCCCCACCCGCCCTGGATAAAAATGACCAAGGACCCCTTGTTCGCGGGACCCCGATCACATGACACTGCTGTGTGTAAGCCAGTGAGCGCTGTCTCTGTGATCCTTTCGCATTTCCCTTACCTGTATTCTCTTGTAACGGTCGACGATGAACCCGAGGGTGGGGAATTGGCAGGGCCCGTAGCTGATCACCCCTTCCTGCAACTCGTCGAACCGGTTCTGCCGTTCCGTACCGTAACGTGCCGTGAGGTGACGTCATCGATCAATGAACGGTGTTAAGACATTTGTAAATTCCGGCATGGCGTGGGAAACCGTACACAACAATTTCGTGTTTTTGGGCGCGAGGCATAGTGAAGACTGGGTCAAGCGTGTCGCGTTCCGTCGCGTTAACTTGGCGCTCAGTACAGACTAACGTGGCCCGGCCAAGCGACGTTGTGAAATGCACGCACAGTTTCCAGCATCAAACCCGGAATCCACCGACAACAAGCTTCCACTGGTGCACCTTCTCGTGCCTGGTGTTACATTGTGGGCGAACTGTTGCAAAACACGGCAGGGGCGCGTTGGCACGTTTTGAACCACGTGGTCCTACGAAGTGGTGCAGAAGAAGGCCCATCGTCCTCTCTAGCCGTCTGCCCCTCTAAGTACCGTGCTTGCCTTCAATCTCGTTGTGAGAAGGGTTCAGCATGGCCAGCAGTTTTCCGGTATCACCACTCAGTGGTATGGCGGACCCACGGCAAGAAATGAAACAGGAAAACAGAACAGCACCTGCCGCGGAGAGAGCTCCCCAAACCGAATATCTTTCACCCAAAAAATATCAACCACCACCAACCACCATCGTCTGGAATTGCCGTAGCGACCATCGCCCTTCATCCTTCCCAGTGCAGGAAACGAATGAGCGAAAAGCCGGACACCATCTGCAATCGCATTGTTTGGGACCGTGTGATGGTTGATCCCCTTCCCCCCCCTTCCACCGTATGGTGTGAGGATAGCTGTGAAATGAAACCTCACAGATGGATTGGTATTTGAGCTTGCAGGACACAAAGACGCATTGAGTGACGATAGCTTCATACTGAAACTTCACAGATGGATTGTTTTTTGAGATTGCCAGACACATAGACGCGTTGAGTGGGGATAGCTGCATACTGAAACCTCACAGATGGATTGGTTTTTGAGCTTGCAGGACACATAGACGCATTGAGTGAGGATAGCTGAATACTGAAACTTCACAGATGGATTTGCTTTTGAGATTGCCAGACATATAGACGCGTTGAGTGGGGATAGCTGCATACTGAAACCCCACGGGTTGAGTGATGTTTGCGATTGCCGGACACATAGACGCATTGAGTGAGGATAGCTTCATACTGAAACTTCACAGATGGATTTGCTTTTGAGATTGCCAGACATATAGACGCATTGAGTGACGATAGCTTCATACTGAAACTTCACAGATGGATTTGTTTTTGAGATTGCCAGACACATAGACGCGTTGAGTGGGGATAGCTGCATACTGAAACCCCACGGGTTGAGTGATGTTTGCGATTGCAGGACACATAGACGCATTGAGTGAGGATAGCTGCATACTGAAACCTCACAGGTGATTTGTATTGGAGATTGCAGGACACATAGACGTGTTGAGTGACGATAGTTTCATGCTGAAACTTCACAGATGGATTTGTTTTTGAGATTGCCAGACATATAGACGCGTTGAGTGGGGATAGCTGCATACTGAAACCCCACGGGTTGAGTGCTGTTTGCGATTGCCGGACACATAGACGCGTTGAGTGAGGATAGCTGCATACTGAAACCTCACAGGTGATTTGTATTGGAGATTGCCGGACACATAGACGTGTTGAGTGAGGATAGCTGCATACTGGAACTTCTTCACAGATGGATTTGTTTTTGAGATTGCCGACACATGGACGCGTTGAGTGAGGATCACTGCATACTAAAATCGCACGGGTTGAGTGATATTTGCGATTGCCGGATACATAGACGGGTTGAGTGAGGATAGCTGCATACTGAAACCTCACGGATTGAGTGATGTTTGCGATTGCCGGACACAAGGCGCATTGATTGAGGAAAGCTGCATACTGAAACCTCACAGGCTGATTTGTATTGGAGATTCGGACACATGGACGCGTTGAGTAAGGATAGCTGTATACTGAAAATCCACAGTAGCTATTGTGAGGGGACAATTCGAGAATGCAGTACACATAGACCCGATCCCCAACCCGTACCCGAACCCCCCCTGAAAAATAGAGGCCATGCGCCCCCCCCCCCCTCTGCCTCCCCCAGAGGATGAGGGTACAGTCCAAAGTAACAACACGCTTACCTAAGGTTAATGCCTGTTGGCACGGCATTAAAAAAAATACCACAGTCCCTCATTGGGCGGTGGAGGACTTAGAGCTAAGACGCCGCAAAACTCTCCGGCGTGAGATCCAAAATGAATCGGACGGTGGAGGGGGGGGGGTGTTTGTTGCTTGAAGTGGATAAATAAAACATAGAGCTATCAAAGCAAAGCTTATTACTCACGTCGAGCAAGCTGAACGACCTGACGGACCACCCAAAAACTGCGGAGCTAGATGCGCGGCACGCACAATGCATTGTTTTCGATTGGAGAGAGGCGAGTACAAAGCAGTAAGGAATTGTGGGCCAAACTTTCGGCAGATAGGTCTACTCGAGAGCGTAAGTGGGGTAGCAACCCATGGTGGAGCGTACATGAGAAGTTGGAAGTCGGTGTATGTTCCATCCCAGCGTGTGAGTAGGATCTTCGGCTATGCAAGTCGTCCCTGAACTTATTGTGGTGAAAATGACCTCCCAGGAGGAAAGTAGCTTATACCGCGGGACTTCGGAGATGATAAATTGGGTGGTCGGGGGACATCTGGGTGTTTACTAAGCAGAGCGCCCGGCACAAGACTGGGGTACTTGTGCCAGGAGGTGTGAACTTGGACCTAGACTACGAGCCTATGTTGGAGGCGCTACTTAGCGTCGGTGAGCCGGCAAAAGAACTGAAAGGAACCACAACCCCCACCGGACACTCGGATTGGGAAGGCCGAGTATTCCGTATACCTTCCTGAAAAAACACGACAAACAAGTGGCCACGGTCCAGTTGCTGTAGAGATCATGAGGATGGTGAAGAAGCCGGGAGGATGGAAGCAGAAATTGTGGAAGGGAGACAGGTTGGAGCTGGCTGTTTGGGATTCCAAGGGACATGACGAGGATAGAGGTCAAGGACTGTTGTGACAGGGAGGGACTGTACTGCCTAGAAAGAGAAGTAGGCAGAGAGCATGAACATTTCCGGGTGAAATTGACCAAGGGAGACAGCCAAGAGTGCTTGGGGGTTGACATCGAGAAGCTGTCGGACTACGTAAGGAAGTTTGGATGGAGGGTTTGCGTCGCGAACATGATAGAAACAGAGAAGGTAAGGAGACAAGAGGCGACGGCGATGGCGGCGAAGAAGGGACCGGGCGGGGGAGGCGAGCAGGCAAGTCAGAAGAACGCCGAGAAGAAGGGCAAGGCGAACGATAAAGTGCGCAAAACCGCCAATAGGGAAAAACACAAGCTGAGAGTGGGGTCGTGGAACGTGTGCGGGTTCGCAAGGAGTGAGCACAAGTGGTTGGAAATAGTGGACCAAGTAGAACAAAGCGATCTAGATGTAGTGGGGATCCAAGAGACGTGGGAACTGAAGGATGGAGACGTGGTAAGCAAACTAGGGAAATACCGGTGGGTAGGGAAGGCAAGAAAGGGCTTAGACCCGAAGAAAAAGGGGGAGGGGGGAGTCGGATTCCTGGTCAAGGAACACGTGTTTGACGCGGTGGCAGTAGTGGTGAAAACGTGAAAACGGAGTTCGACGAAAGCCTATGGCTTAAGATACCTGGGGAGCGGGGTGAGAAAGGTTTGTTTCTAGGGAACGTATACGTCCCACCGTCGTCGAAGAAAGTCGCAAGCAAGGCGTAGGAGAACTTTGGACAAATTGGGGAAGATGTCCAGAGGTTCAGTAGGAAGGGGAGAAGTTGCCATGGTGGGCGATTTCAACTCCAGAGTAGGGAAAGCTCCCGTAGAGGACAGGCGATCGGGCAGCACGGAGAAGACAAAGTCAATGACAACGGAGTGAGGATGCTCGAATTCTTGAGAAGCAACGAGCTGATGGTGTTGAACGGTAGGAGGGAATGCGATAAGCCGGAGTTCACCAGGCAAAGGGTAGTTCGCAACGAAAACTCGATCCTCGACTACATCCTGGTAGATAGGGGGAGCACACAGATCCCAGAGCTGCACGTAAGTGCGGTAGATAGAGGCTCGACCGACCACTTCCTCATATGGGCAAACATCGACCGATCTAGAAAGACGGAGAGAAAGAAACAGAGGAAAGTGTTCCGGTGGAAAGTAGAGCGTTTGGGAGACGAGGGGACACGGGATGAATTCCAGAAGGGACTGGCTGGTAGTGTAGAACCCTTGAGGAAACTGCTCAGAAGCGTCGAAGACGGACAGGTAGACGTACAAGCAGCAGGGGACAGGGTGATTGAAGGATGGGAGTCCATAGTGAACACAACGGCAGGGAGAGTAGCCGGAAAGAAGGTGGTACGATGTGGGGTATCGGTTAAGTGGTGGGATGACGAGCTGAAAGAAGAAATAGGGGAACGTCGAGAAAGTCTTCAAGCAGTACCTGAGTGAGGGGTCTGAGGAAAGTTGGGAAAAGCACAGGGCCAAGAGGAAACAGTGAAGGCACTTGTGAAAAAGAAGAAAAAGTGCATTTGGGACGAAGTAGTGCAGAAGGCCAACGGAGGCCTGGAGGGGAACGCCAAGCAGATGTGGGAAGGTAGTAGTAGGATGGTAAAAAAGACCGCGCAAGGGGGGGATACAGGGGTGGCAACTTTGCGAGGTGTGAACGGTGGACTAGTCAGCAGTGGGAAGGGGAAAAGGGAAGTTCTAGCAGGACACTACAAGAGACTTGGAGTGCCTTCGGAGAATGAAGCTTTTGACCAAGTGTTTAAGAAGGAGGTGGACGCATGGGCCCAGAAAGAAGAAGAGACATGGAAGGCAGACGTTGGGAACGTAGAAATAGAAAAGGAGTTCACTGAGGACGAGGTTGAGGCGTGTGTGAACAAGCTGCAGTGCCACACAGCAGCAGGGGCGGATGGGATAGTCAACGAGTTCATGAAGTTTGGGGGGAAGGGGATGATCCAGCTGATGGCACTGCTGTACAACTGGGTGTGGAAAAACGAGTATGCGCCAAGTAGATGCAGGAATGAGTGGTTGTGACTTGCTTAAGAAACAAGACTGACCCAGGAAACTACAGGGGTATCACACTGTTGAACACAGTAGGAAAAGTCTTGTGTAAGCTGCTGAACGATATGATAGTGGGAGTATTGGAGATGGAACGTAGCATTAGTGAGGGCCAGGTAGGTTTCTGAAAGAAGAGGGGGTGCGTAGACCACGCATTCACGGTAGGGAGAATCATCCAAGGTAGAAAGAGGGCGGGAAAGCCGACTGCTTCTTCCAGGACGTGAAAAAGGCATACGATACCGTACGGAGAAATGGGCTGTGGAAGCAATGGTCCAAGTACGGGATCAAGGGGAAAATGTGGAGAGTGCTGAAGAAGATGACAGAGTGTGTGAAAAGCGCGGTCATGCTAGACGGAGAACTGTCTAAATTCTTCGACATTGAGCAGGGGGTCCCACAAGGTTGCACGCTGTCCCCAACATTGTTCCAGGTGTTCATCAACGATCTGTTGGAAGTCGTAGAGGTAGTCCGGAAGGGAGTAAAAGTAGGGGACACGGAAACTTGGGTGTCAGGAATGCTGTTTGCGGATGATTTCGTTGGTATGTCGGGCACCCC